ATATTTGGTCCCTAAGACCAATTTCTTTTCTAACCTAGTCTTTTTGACCAATTTTCCCTCAAAGAATGAAATTAAGAGTTTTATTTTTTTAATTAATAGACTATATAGCTTTAGATTAATTAAATAATTTTTATAACTCAAAATTTATATAATTATGTTATATTTTCTAAATAATTTTTATAATTTAATAAAAGAGTAAAATACTCTGACCTCTCCTCTGTTTTACCTTAATTACATATACTTATTTTCTATTTTAGAAACCTATGGGAACTTTTCCTAGTATAAATAGTTACAAAACACAAACATCCTCTCTATTTCTAAGATTTCATTTTCATTCACCCATCCGTTAATTGATTGTTAAGTTACATTTGTTGGACCAAAATACCCCTTCTTTAAATATAAATGTTATCTAAAAGTCATTCAAATTATTGAAAAAAATTAATGCATATATATTTTTTACTTGTATCTTTATATTTTAATTTTTTAGTTACATAAACATATTTATTTAGTAACATTTTGTAAAATTTCTATACATGCATTAGAAAAAAAATAAAAATTTAAAGGTGCAGTTAAAAAACTTAATGAAATAATAGGATTTAATACAATAAATTACTCAACATAATTTATATTTTTTATTTTATTAATTTAACATGAAATTTAAATTTATCTATTTAAATATCGATGCAATTATTTAAATTTTTAAAGGGGGAGAGAGTATGCAATTAAATTATAAAGGTAAAATAATAATTTTAAAAATTTGAATATAATTGCAAATAAAAAAATTAAAGATTTTAGAATCTTTAACAAAATATTCCTAACTAGGGCTGTGCATAATGCCCAATAGCCCGGTATGCCCAGCTCGACCCAAGGGAAAAATGCCCAGCTCAAGCCCAAAAAAACTTGCTTGGTATTGATTAGGTATGGTCGGGTTCAGCCCGATCTTCGGGTTGGGTAGGTTTAGGGTTAGAGTATCCAACCAATTGGCCATGCCTGACCTGAGGTTTAATTATTTTTTTTTAAAATTATTAATATATGTCATTTTGTAAATTGATGTGGGCATAAATAGAAAATAAAAATATTAAAACCTTAAGATCTGACTCAAATATGAAATTGAAACACCTGAACAAGACCATTCGTTTGATCTATGCCTCTCTTATTCTGGTCTCTCTTGCTCCACCTTGTCTCATCTCCGATCTCTCTCACTTGATTAGGGCAGGGTTGTCTCGTCCCTGATCGCTACTCCATCTCCAATCAAGTTCGTCTCCCTCTCTCAATCGCCACTCTGTTCTGGTCAAGTTCATCTCCCTCTCTCAATCGCCACCCCATCTTCAAACTTCTTCTGTCTCCAGTTGCCACTCGCCACTCGCCACTCTCTCTTACTCTAGTTCGTCTTCAATCACCGTTGTCTCTCGTTCGAGCTCGTATCCGATCACCTTAGCTCCAAAGCTCGTATCTGGCTTGTTTCTCTTTCTTTGTTAGATCTTTCTTTTGGTTAAAATTGAAATTATCTGCTGTCTATTAGTTTTGTTGATGTTTTGGTTAATTCTTATTCTTTTATTTTAGGTTGTTTATAATTCAACATTAAAGGAGGAAGAACAATGGACGATGGTGTAGGGATCAGGAAATTTGCTATCTCAAACTTTATAATTTATATTTAACTTGTTTAGTGTTCATAGATGTATTGTTTTTCAATTGATTGGCTTGATTGAGGAAATCTTGTTTTATTTGTATGAGTTAGATTTTATTTAGGTTTGTTTATTTCTTATCTAAGTTACTTTGAGCCCATTATTTATTGTTGGACATGGCTTATTGGTGGCTATTATGAACCCAGTCTTAATATATTTTGGTTTGACAAAAGGCTTTTAGGTGCCTAAAAAAGGGAAGTACTGGACATCCAGCCGGATGGCCTAATCCCTGCCCAACCTTGCCCGCTCGACCCCTCCAAGAATGGGCATCTTTCGAGTAGGGTCGAGCTTTGGGCATGATTTTTTTGCCTGAACACAATTAGGGCAGGGCATCAAGTTAAGGGGGTTACCCTACCCAACCCTGCCCATACACAGCCTTATTCCTAACAATGCTAAAAATTAGATTGAAGTATAGGTTTTGAAAATAGATGGGAGGTCTATGTAATTTAAACAAAACATAAAAGAGGTTATTGTATTTTACTCTGATTAAAATTTTATTTTTTTATGGCCAAGATATTAAATCAAATTTTCTATAAAATTTAAAAATATTTTTATTTTGGAAAAGTTAATTATCCATTAATAATTTTAACTTTTAGGAATTAATATATTTAATTGATCAAATTATAAGGGTTTTATTAAAACAAAATAAATTATATGAATTTAGTTCAAATTTAAAAAAAAACTAGAATGATTTAATTTTTCTAATTACTTTATTTAATTGATGAATATCTTAATATAGTAATCTAATGCCATAACTTTTCAAATCACTAACCAGTAAAACAATGCCACACAGAGATAGACAAAGGCACACCTCCGAATAAAACATGTTCAAAGACACCAACAATAATTAGCTTGGAAAAGTTTGACTTTCTCCTTTATTTAATGTTTTAAGATTAAGTTCTAAAAAAGTTATTGGGGAGTTTTGTACTTGGGATCCCATCCATCAACTTAAGAACTAGCCTAATGTACATCACACTTAAGTTGACAGAAGTTCTTACTTGGCATACATTATCATCCATATTTTGTTCAATAAAAATATATCATGTTTGATTGTTATAAGTATAAATTTGTTTTATCATTGATGATGATAGAGAAATAAAATATAAAAAATTAAGAAGATATTCTATTATAAAATTGTAATAACATAAAAAAATTATTTAATTTAAGTGATAAAGTTTTATTGCGCATATCATATATAGTTTCATGTATTGGATCCAAGAATTCCTTCCCAACGAAGGTGGTTGAAATATATATATATATATATATATATATAAGAATCTCTGCAATCATTGGTTAAAAAAAAAAAATCTCTGCAATCAAATGAAGTCTATTTTTTATGCTTTCAAAATGTACATATATAAATCTTTACGCTTTCTTCAATCAAATCATGGACGGAAAGTGGACAAGAGATAAATACACCTTTATTTTATTTTAATTAACCAATGTCGTCTCTTTTTTCAATTTTTATTTTAAAAGGCACGAACCATAGATACCTTAAAATTTAGCTACATTGAAAAAATTTAAAAAAAATGAGAGTAAAGCGAAAATCTAATCTATATATAATTATATATTTTATTTTTTTTTAATTTTGAAATATACTATATCATATATTTATAATACCTTCCAGTTCTATTTACTACTCCCTCCATCCTAAATTATAAAATACTTTTATTAATAAAGCTCATTAATTATAATTTATAATTTTATTTTTTTAAAATAAAATATAAACTTTTAAAAATACCCCTCATTTAATATTACATTGATGAAAGAATATTGAAGAGATAAAATATATGAAAAAAGTAATATTGAAAAAGTATCATTAATAAAATTTTATTTTAATTAAAGTGTCTTATATTTTGAGACGTTAAATTTTTTTTAAAAATATCTTATAATTTGGGATGAAGAAAGTATCATTTATAATTAATGCAATGTAGTTTTTTAATTTCTTGCAATATAGTGAAAGGAATCTTATCTAGTTTTACACTTTTATAAACTATCTAAATTTAAAATTTCTAACAACACTAATAGCATTAGTTGGGTTGGAATTGAATTGAGTTAAATAAATATATTTTATTAAATAATAAATCAAATTGGAAGCTTGTAAATTAAATAAATATATATATATATATATATAGCAACAGATCTCTATCTCTATTTCCTCAAGTACCAACAATCATTAACATATCAACATACAATTTATAGAAAAAAAATATTGATATGTTATAGACTTATAGTATTTATTTATAAGACAGTTTACAATTTTTGGCTGTAATAATAATTTTTTTAAAAATGTCTTTAATAATAATAACAATGATGATGATGATGATGATGATGATAAAAAAGCAACTTCGGTAGCGAGCGCGCAAAGCAACCCAAGTCACCATCTCTACCAAACGTAACCACTTGGAGAATGAAAGGTCTTTCACCCCCTTCCACTTTAATTTTCGTGCCTGTTTACCTAACAAGTTTATCAATAAAATATTTTGATTTGCCTATTTAATTTGCAGAGGAAATTTTGCACTCATTCTTCATTAATTCAGACAATAATTTGGAAGATGGTGAATTAATAAAGTTAATTTAATTAATAAAGATTTGCCTCATAAAATTATAGATTCAAATTTTATTATTAATATGGGAGTTTTTTTAATATGTTATTTATAAGTATCGTGTAGTCATTTCGTTCACTATTGTATGTGATTTTGATGAAATTACATCATAATAAATTAGTTAATTATTTTTAAAATTATATACTATTTTTATATTTATTTTATTTAATAAGTTTTTTAATTAAAAAGCCTCATTTGTTACATCCTTAATGACATTTTTTTTGTGAAAAACTTCATTAATTACATTTTAAAAGACATAAAATGCTTTAAATTTTTTAATATCATATTTTTAAAAATGTTTTATGAAGTACTCTTTTCACATCATAAAATAAGTTACTTTTTAGAAGCATCTCTCGACCCAAAACATAAGGTATTAAATAAATTTTATGTTTTTCACCATTTATATCCTTATTTTTTTAATTTTTGATCTTTAAATGTTTTATATTTAAAGATCATGCACATGTTATTATGAAAACACAAGGACATAAATGTAATAATGTATAACATTTTTATGAAAGTACAGTTTCAACTAATATTTTTTTATGAAACATGAATTTGTTAATAATAATAACATATTGTGATTCCGGAGGAGTAAGTGCCTTCTGAGCAAGAGGTCTGACTTTGGGTATGTTTTGGAATTTATTTTCTAATTTTAACATTTTATTTCGGATTTTCTTTTCCCTCTTTTTAACCACACGTGAAAGCTGCAAGCACGGTTGAAAATGGAAACTGTTAAACAACACTCCATCTTTCGCAGCATCCGTAGAAGATTCACTCGGATTCCTTTCCACCGGTGAAACGAAACAGTTGCCGAACCTCTGCCGCCGGCGTGCTCATGGAGGTTTCTGCCATTGGCAGCAGCCTCTGGGACGGCGTCATGGAGCTGACGAAGGTGGCGCAGGAAAAGGGTAGCGATCCTGTGGTTTGGGCAATGCATATAAGTTCGAATTTGAACTCGGCGGGAGAGTCGTTGCCTTCGGTAGAGCTCGCAGACGTATTAGTCTCTTACATTTGCTGGGAAAATAATGTTCCTATAATTTGGAAGTTTCTAGAGAAAGCCTCCATATTCAAGATCGTGCCTCCTATTCTTGTTCTTGCTCTTCTTTCTGTCAGGTTTGTTAAATATCCTTCGATTTCTAAATTTTCTTTTCCTTCTTGTGTTGGTTCTTCACATTTGTAAATTGAAGGTAAATGCTAATATAGTGCCATTATAGATAAGAGAGAATAATGAGTCAAATTAATGCCCCTATTCCATTGGCAGGGTTATTCCATGCAGACATATCCGGCCTGGGGCATATAGGCTGTACATGGAACTCCTCAAAAGACAAGCTCTTGAACTTAAATTTCAGCTAAAGCTGCCGAACTATCTGAAGTAAGCATTTTCTTCTATTTTTTGTTCTCTTGGTTTTCAATGGCTCTTTAGCTTCGCCTTGTTTACATGTTTGAAATTTTCCTTTGCAATGATGTAAAGATTTTTGTTCCTTATGAGGTTGGCTGCATTACAGTCTGTGAAAGAGGTACCGAACCATCGGGATAACTTTCTTAATTTCATCTTTCATGGAGCGTTCTAATGAGGCATAGGATGAGCCCAAGAGTAGGTCATATATTTGGAGATGATAATATGGTTATTGCATTTATCTTTTAAAGCAAAATCTACTCTCATGGAGAACTCGTGTCATTTTGTTTTACCATTATATATAATCAGTTCAATATTCTTTTATGTGGCTTCCACAGTCGGATATAATCGACTGTTCTGTTTAATGATGTGATTTGTTTTTGTTCAATGGTTTTGTTTCTGCTTTGAACAGGGTCATGAAATCTGTAGATTCTGTTCTTCATCTTTCGCAGATATTTGACCTTTCACAAAGAGAGCCTGGCGTTTTGGTGGTTGAATTTGTTTTTTCAACTGTCTGGCAGTTGCTCGATGCATCATTGGATGATGAAGGGTTGTTGGAACTCACTCCTGAAAAGAAGTCCAGATGGGATATAATATACCAAGAAATGGATCTTGATAGGCATGGGAACTATGATGTTAATATCAAGAAGGCTGAGCAGTTTGAGAGAATGCAGAATGCAAATACCCTTGTGGCTATTGAGATGATTGGTCATTTTCTTCAGGATAGAACATGTTCTAGGCTTCTTTGCTTAGCCCGCAAAAATCTGTTAGTATTTTTTCTTGAATATTTATTTACAGCTGAACTTTACCCTTTTTGGTTTAACAATGTCAGTGAAATCATGGATAATATTTATATAACCTTCATGTGGCTCTTCTTGCATGACTGGAATTTAGCTAAGCGCTTATCTGCCATTTTATCAGGCCTAAGCATTGGCGAAGTTTTGTTCAGCGGCTGAAGCTGCTGGCAGCTCATTCATTGGTATTGAGAAATTCAAGAACTCGAAGTCCTGAGACACTTCTCAAATTGACTTCAGATGCTTGCATCATCTTGTCTCGAGAATGCAAAACAAGTTCACAGCAAAAGTTCCATAAAGTTACAGCTTTTGAATGTCTTTCTTCCTCAGCATCTATCTGCCACGGTTCTACTCATTCTGCTCTCTGGATTCCTCTTGACCTGGTACTGGAAGATGCCATGGATGGCTATCAAGTTAGTGCAACAAGTGCTATTGAAATAGTTTGCAGTAAGACTGAGTACAGCTATAGAGATCTAATTGAAATGATCGATATTATCTCTCAATATATATATATATATATAATAAGAGATTAAACCTCATTACTTGTTCTGTATAGATTTGGTCAAAACTTTACGGGCAATAAATGGCACCTCTTGGCATGACACGTTTTTAGGCCTTTGGTTAGCAGCTCTTCGTCTTGTTCAGAGGGTGTGAACTCCCCTTCTTCAAATTAGTTTGTCTTTATGTTCTGTAGCATCTTTACCCGTAATCAAATTTGTTATGTACTTGTAGGAAAGAGATCCTATTGAGGGCCCAATGCCTCATCTTGATACACGCTTATGCATGCTATTGTGTATCATGCCTCTTGTTGTTTCCAATCTTATTGAGGAGGAGGAAAGAATACCCATCGATGAAACAGAGAATGGCCCTACAGATCACTGGAAAGATAAGACCCCAGGAAATTGCCGAAAGGATCTAGTCTCAAGTCTACAGTCATTAGGGGATTATCAAAGTTTGCTTTCTCCACCTCAATCTGTTGTTGCTGCTGCAAATCAGGCTGCCGCAAAAGCAATGCTTTTTGTTTCTGGGATCACAATAGGAAGTGCATATTTTGAATGTCTCAACATGACAGAAATGCCTATTGACTGTTGTAAGTGATTTTTTCTTTCAAAGCCAATAAGGAATTATGCATGGAATGTGAGAAATTCTTAATTAACTTGATGTCTTGGTTTTCAGCTGGAAACTTGCGTCATCTGTTAGTTGAGTCTTGTATTGCCCGTAACCTCCTGGACATGTCAGCTTATTTATGGCCGGGTTATGTGAATGGGCATATGAATCAAATGCCTCAATGTGTGCCTGCTCAAACACCTGGCTGGTCGTCTTTTATGAACGGAGCACCACTTAGTCCTGCAATGATACATGCTCTGATTTCATATCCTGCTTCGAGGTATGATCTATTCTATGTAACTTCTAAATGAATTTGTTTTTAGAGAATCTGCCAAAATGGCTGAACTGAAATTTTCTTTTTAACTCGAATCTCCTGCCTAACGTTTCTGTCAGGATGAATTGATGCATTGAACATGATACTCCTCTAGTGCTATTTGTAGGGTAAAAAGAAAAGATTTATTTTGGTTATATTTATTAGGCCCTTCATTATTTTTTATGTTCATCTCTACTTTTTTGCCCTTATTAAATGTTAAGAAAAATTATTAAAAATAATTCTTGTCCTTATTAGGGGGGTAGATATGGAAACTTGTTAAATTTTAAAGTTAATGAGGTTTAAAGTTTTCTTTGATTCAGATGAAACATGTTAGAAGTGACTCATAAATAAGACCAAGAGTATAATTTTATAGGTATAACAAGAATAATGCCCTCTCTTCATTGGCTGAGGTTAAGTTCATGTACATCATAGCCGATGGTTGATACATACATCAGAAGAAAGATTGATAATATTAACAAGTTCGTTCTTTTTTGGGTTTATGTTGTTCGGTCTTCAGTTTTTCCTTTTTCTTTCCCGAAGCCAGGTATATCATATGCTCTTTTTTGTAATTTTACCCAATGGCGAACCAACTGAATTTCTGCTCCTGGATTTCATGGAAGCTTAGCAGAACTGGAAAAGATATTTGAGATTGCAACCAGAGGATCAGAAGAGGATAAAATATCTGCTGCTACCATTCTTTGTGGTGCATCTTTGATTCGAGGATGGAATGTGCAAGTAATGAAATTTGACGCTAAAACGTGGAAAGTCTAATTACCAGTAGATTAGTATCAATTATTTTTTAATTCTAATTGTTACAGATCTCCATTCCATGCAGGAGCACACTGTTCATTTCATTATTAGGTTATTGTCTCCACCAACTCCAGTAGAGAATACTGCAGGCAACAGCCATTTAATTAATTATGCTCCAATTCTTAACGTACTTGTTGTTGGAATAGCATCAGTTGATTGTGTTCAAATATTATCGCTTCATGGCTTGGTAAGTTCGATTCAAAATCTTGATTAAAAGCATTATAATATATGCTCCTCCCTTTCAAATATAAGGAATTTTAATTAAACACACAGGAAAAAAAATATTTAGGTAATCGAGATTTCAATTTTTTTCCAACTCTACCCTTCTTTAATACTACCAATCATTAATTATTTGTTAGGCAGGAGGTAAGTAATTTTGACATACTTCTAGGGGCATTTTAGGTGAAAAGTTATTAATTGCTCTTAAAATATTTGAAGTGCCTCATATATTGAAACGTAGGATTATACAAAACATGCCTTATATTTGAAATGGAGGGAGCATTAGTTTTCCTTCCTGGAATACATAGAAGATAATGATGCGTGGACCTAATCTTGTTTTTTACATAACGTGAGGAACTCCTAAATTGAAGTCTTTAAGCTAATGGAATAGCCAAATGTCTCACCAGATTCCACAGCTTGTGTGCTCATTGATGCCAATTTGTGAAGTTTTTGGATCATGTGTGCCCGACGTCTCATGGACACTAACATCAGGGGAAGAAATATCTGCCCATGCTGTGTTTTCAAATGCCTTTATTCTTCTTTTAAAACTGTGGAGGTTCAATCATCCTCCTCTTGAACATGGAGTTGGAGATGTACCCACTGTTGGATCTCAACTAACTCCTGAATACCTCCTGTTAGTACGAAACTCCCACTTAGTTTCATCAGGTAATATCCACAAAGATCAAAACAGGAGAAGACTCTCGGAAATTGCAAGTTTGTCATCACCAAATTCTGTTTTTGTTGACTCATTTCCAAAACTGAAAGTGTGGTATAGGCAGCATCAAGCATGTATAGCTTCAACATTGTCTGGTCTTGTTAATGGAACCCCTTTTCATCAGATTGTTGAGGGGCTTCTTAACATGATGTTTAAAAAGATTAATAGAGGAAGCCAGGCTTCTGTTACATCTGGAAGCAGTGGCACTTCTGGGGCTGCAATTGAGGATACCTCTATGAGACCAAAATTGCCTGCTTGGGATATTTTGGAAGCTGTTCCCTTTGTAGTTGATGCCGCTCTCACAGCCTGTGCTCATGGAAGATTATCCCCCCGTGAATTGGCAACAGGTACATCACTACTAGCCTTGTGTTTGAATAAGGTAAATCCAAAAATACAACCAAATTTTGGTAATTCTTGACGTTCAAAATTTCTTTCAGTAGGCAAGTTTTCAAAATTCTCCTTCATTGATGCATGCAGCAATGTCATGAATACCAGAATGTTCTTCACTTTTTATTGTCAGGGCTTAAAGATTTAGCTGATTTTCTGCCTGCATCTTTGGCAACCATAGTAAGCTACTTCTCCGCTGAAGTAACTCGGGGTGTTTGGAAACCTGTTCTTATGAATGGAACAGATTGGCCAAGTCCTGCTGCAAATCTATTAAATGTCGAGGAACAGATCAGGAAAATTTTGGCTGCAACTGGCGTTGATGTCCCAAGCCTTACTCCAGGTTTCCTCCTGTTCTGACCCTAAATTCTGAATGCTTCTTTTCATAATTCTGAATAAAAGGCATGTTTAGGAGTATCAGTTTAATCATAATTTCAACGTGTAAATAATTACGATCTGAGTCAATTAGTGTTTTTGGAGATATCTACTTCCACCAACCTATTTTCTCCTAACAATATCTTTTTCTTCTCCTAATAATATTATTACTGTAGCTTTTTGACCGAAGGTCACTTCTACAGGAGGAAGCTGTCCGGCCACACTTCCTTTGCCATTGGCTGCCTTTGTAAGCCTTACCATAACCTACAAAATTGACAAAGCTTCAGAGCGTTTTCTCAATTTGGCTGGCCCAGCTTTAGAGTCCCTTGCTGCGGGTTGTCCATGGCCTTGCATGCCAATAGTAGCTTCTTTATGGACCCAAAAGGCGAAGCGTTGGAGTGACTTTCTTATCTTCTCAGCATCTCGAACTGTATTCCTCCACAACAAGGATGCAGTAATTCAACTTCTCAAAAGCTGCTTCTCATCAACCCTTGGCATGAATATCTCTCTTATCTCATCCAATGGTGGTGTTGGAGCCCTCCTTGGCCATGGCTTCAAGTCTCATTTTTGTGGAGGGATTTGTCCGGTTGCTCCAGGAATTCTTTACCTTCGTGCTTATCGATCAATCAGAGATATTGTCTTCTTGACAGAAGAGATAGTTTCCATAATAATGCAGTCGGTGAGAGAAATTGTATGTGGTGGGGTTCCAAGGGACGGGCTAGAAAAGTTGAGAGCAGCCAAAGATGGCATAAAATATGGACAGGTTTCACTTGCTGCATCAATGACCCGGGTCAAACTTGCGGCTGCACTAGGGGCTTCTCTTGTATGGTTATCAGGAGGGTTGATGCTAGTTCAATTACTAATAAAAGAAACTTTGCCTTCCTGGTTTATATCTGTTCACAGATCTGAGCAGGAGAGGTGTGATGGGATGGTGGCAATGCTTGGAGGATATGCACTTGCTTACTTTGCAGTTCTTTGTGGGGCTTTTGCCTGGGGGGTTGACTCATCATCTTCAGCTTCAAAGAGACGGCCAAAAATTCTGGGCATTCACATGGAGTTTCTGGCTAGTGCACTTGATGGTAAGATATCACTTGGCTGTGATTCTGCCACTTGGCGAGCCTATGTGTCAGAGTTTGTGAGCCTAATGGTAGGCTGCACACCAAATTGGGTGCTGGAAGTAGATGTACAAGTGTTGAAGAGACTGAGCAATGGACTGAGACAGATGAATGAAGAGGAGCTTGCTCTGGCTTTATTGGGCGTAGGTGGGATGGGTACCATGGGTGCTGCAGCTGAGCTTATAATTGACAACAAAATGTGAATTGCTATAACCCTTTTACTAGTATCAACATATTGTAGGACGCAGAATTTGTAATCTGCTCTAGTTTGATGCCCTAAAGTTGCGCCGTGTTAATTTCTTTTGGAAAAGCATCACCCGTTAAGAATGAAATTTTCTGTACGTATCACTATCATGTTAATCTTAAAGTTGACAAGCCTATGAAATCAATGTTCATTTGTCAACCACAAATGGTTAGTAGTACTCTTGACGAGACATTTCTATTTTTCAGAGCAGGCACATGTGAAGCATAACTTAACATAAATATTTTGTTTGAGGACCGAGGATTTAACTATGCTATATCAATCACTTGAATAAAAATTGAGAGAGGTGAGAACCCACGATTTTTTGGTTATGTAAAAGCTAACGGGATGGATCAAATATCAATAAGAGATTCATAAATTTATTGCAGTTAATTTTGTATTATCCTTCCAATGTTATAGACAAGATCCATGAGAATGTGTAAACACCGGGAAGGATGGCTACAATCAGATCATAATTTTCTTTTTCATACGAAAATGGTTCTGATGAAAAGTCTTCAACCAAAGGGGAACTGATGAAAATGATAACGCTATATAAGCAAGAATGCCTGTGGAGTAAATAAACAACAGTCAATCAGCGATGATCTCCTTGTCTGTTATGGGTCACGTTTATCAGAGATCTGCAGAAGCCAACATAATCATGTCACTGGAGCATAAAGAACAGAATTCATATCGGGTAACATTCAAGTTCACTAATATTTATCCAAAGAAAGTCATTCAAGTTCATGGAGAATAACCACAAAAATTCAAATAGCCATGGACTAATAAATACTTCATTCAGTCCAAAAAGAAAGAGAAAATACTTCATTGTTTTCCTCCAAGTAAATGCTAAATGCTCCCAATTGGAATCGCAGGAGCTTGTATAAGAAAGTTCATGTGAAATAGATTGATAGCATATATATATTTATATATATATTCTACAAGTTAACAATTGTAACAAATCACACATTTTGACAGTTCTCCAAGTCAACAATTGTCCGATGTCACAGCCTATGTATTTTTTCCTAAATTCCCGCTGCATTGTTTCTTTGGTTTCCTTTTTAAGGGGGAAAAAGCGGTCAGCCTACTGTGAGATTCACGCACCAGCATATATCATAATGGCTGTTCAGATTAAATCAATAACCTTTCAAATAAAAGAAGCATTGAAGCCAAATACACATCAGATGCCCCAGGATCCAAAGGGCATCTCCTAGTGCCATACCATTAAATTGTTTCAACTTTGAAATTTTCAAAATGCTAGAGTATAATCAATGCAGTCCACGTCAATAAGAGCTCCAAATTGCTAGAAGCCAAAGCGTAGCATTTCTTGAGTTCATAATTGTGGTTATCATTGGCAAAATTAAACAAACTGCCTCGGATCAGCCAAGAGTCACTAATATTAACAATCTTTTTCTTGATAAAACACTAACCCTCTGTCTTGTTTGAAGGGAATGAAGGCAAGGATTTGAAAAATTTTAAAGAGTTCGATTTAAAAAAAAATGGACAAGTGGGGTTATAAACTATTAATAGAGAGAAGAGGTAAGGGGAAAGGACAAGAAAATTTAATTAAAAACTCTTAACCCCACTTCTCAAATTTTTTAAATCAAACTTATTCCCTTCAAACCAAATGAAGGGCAAATAATACTCCCTCCATTCAAAAATGTAAGGCATTTTTTGAGGAGTTAAATGTTCAAAAATATAAGGCATTTTTAGTTTTTCAAAGTATAATCATTGCTTTTTCTCCAAAAGTGCCCCTATTGATAATGACTTTATATTTATTGTAGGATGTTTGATAGGAGTAAATATGAAAAGATAGGATTAGTTGGAAAGTAGGTAATTACTTTATTGAGAGGTGAGATTTGATTAAAAATGTCTTACATTTTTTAACGGAGAGAGTAATAATAATCATAACAAAGATATAATCAAATTATCAATTTATTTATAAACAAAAGTTCAAAACACATAATGTGATCATCTTCATGGAATAATTTGTACATCAGATCAACGCAAATAAAAAGTATAAAAGTTCTACTAGATAATAATGATGTAATTCCCACTGTACGTTAAAAAAAAAACCATTTAATTGAATGTAAGTTCAGACAAATTTTGGAAAACCTGATTGGATATTATTTCAATATGACAACGTAAATTTCACAGCCTCTGAGCACCATCTATACCCCACCACAAGAAACACATTTAGCATTTAGTTGAATTATTGTCAAATTGATTTCGACTGAAGTAAGTCTAATGACTTCAATCACAAACAAACGGTTTTCCAAACGAATTCCAAGCCAGGCATAGGATTTGAATCAGTCCCTTGACCAAAAAATTTAGCATAATTGAACGGCTTAAATAGAAAGAATTAAACAATAGAGAAACTTAGTCCACATTCCCAAGGAACACAAGAAGAAAGTTGCACATAATATCCCATCTAACCTTGTCCAAGTAGAATTTCTCAGTGTAAGTCACACAGGTTCACTATCAAGTTATATAGGTCTCAGTAATTTGGAAAATTAGCAGTTGATACTTTATGACTCTATTGCTTTGGATAGTTTTGGAAGATTTACACCTGATGAGACTTACAAATCAGGGCCTAGATTCCTAGACTATGAAGTTACAATATCCATGGAAAGCAAGATATTGTGGCTTCAGAGTCCTAGTTAAGTAAAATCAAACTTATTCCATAATGTAAAACATCAGTAAGATCAACTTTCTTTCCTCTGGGGTTTGTCAAAGTATAAAACATTTGCAGTCACCATGCACAATTTAAAAGAATGCACCCATATGGAAAGATGCATGTGCCCAATACTGCATGGGATAGGATTTAGCAATGGCTGGGCTGACATAGTCTACAAGCAAAAGGAAAAAAATGAAGCTACCATGTTGACCACAATAATGACACCAAACCTTATCCTACTAAGTGAGAAGCAAAGATAAGATTCATAATGAACACATACGAGGAAGAGTTGGCATGACATCTAGTTTAGACATCGAATGAGAGATTGGCACGAAGGGTTGAACAGATGATTTTGAGTCAAGTGAAGTTGCCATGCTGATTATTTTATTTAAAATTGCATGCCACCCTCACCAACAAGACTTCCCCACCAAATAAGAGGGCACCGATACAGGGGGAGATGGAACCTTAAATCAAGCCGTGGGCTGTATACTATGCCACACCAGCCCTCTTGAAGAACCAAACAATGGTCATATAGCTAAGGAATTAATTAACAGAACAGAGCATTATCAGTTCGAGATAGAGAAATTTATACAATACATCAACAAGGAGAGTAAACAGATTCAGTGCTTAAACAATCAGGAAACCTGAATGCGACATTTCTACACAGGTTTCTCTAATTGAAGAAGGTTGTTCTAAAGACCTGGATTTATGGTTTGGGATAATCTGATAAGGATTCTCTGACCGTTTAACCAAAGCAATTGAAAGAAGTTAAGAAGAACTTAACACTGGCAAAACCAAAGCAAAAACAAATGCACAAAAACTCAAAGTACTAACTCCTCGACAGTGTCCAATGCCTATCATAAAGAACCTAAATCCAAAGAGAAATGATGCAAATTCTAACAAGTACAAACTCATTTAATCATAACCCTTTATCAATCACGCCTACGAATGAATCCCCAGGTAATGGAGGAAAGAGTGCACTTGCAAGATTGAATTCAGAAATAATGTTACGATAAAAAATAAAAACAGTCAATTCATGACTAACAAGACTAGTTTATGAATTCATCAAACTGAAACCAGACTTACTTCTTCTGCCGCTTTCCTTTTTTGGGCGCCCACCCCACAAGCTTGGCATTGGGACATCCACAGCGTGATCGGAACAGCAAAAGAGTGCAGCTCGGACTCATAATCGGGGTTGTCATCACTCCCACCCTTCCAAGGCAGCTTATCAAACTCATCACACCCAGACTTGAGACAGTCCTCCGACTGTAATTGCAAATCAAACTCCATCGCTTTCTTCAGTCCTTTGCACCCAGGTTTGCCGCACCTCCGCATATACGCACCGCAGCAACGTTGCGTCACTATTGCCGAAACAACAAAGAAGGCCAAAAACCCTAGAACGTAAGGGATCCGAGGGAACTGATAAATCTGGGGCGCGGATTGTGCGAGAAGGATGGAAAGCGAATTGAAGATGTATGAGAAATAAGAAGACAGAAGGAAAGCACCAGAGAAAAGGACGAGAATGAAGATGAGGAGATCGAGGGTAGCGGAAGGAGAGTGCTTGCAGGGAGAGAGATGAGAGCTGGTGTTTGAATTATGACTATGGTTTGAGAATTTGGGTTTGTGGTAGGACGATGAAGAGTTGAGAGACGGAGAGGGCGAGGAGGAGACAGAATGAGAAGGAGGAGCCATGGTAGAGGTGTCGGTGGCGGTGATAGGTGCTGCGGAGGTCACGGTGCCGGAGCCGGTGGTGGTGGCGGCGCTTAGAAGCTGGCACATGATAGAAAAAGGTAATAATTTTTAGTAAAAATAGTTACTTTCTTACAAATAAAATAGCAACATATCTGATCACATGCACCGAAATTTATGGGACTTGGACGCGAATGTACGAAGATGAAGATGTGAAGTGGCGAAAAACTTAGTGGGTAAAGTTGATTTACCTATGTATATGTATGTATACACTATACAGCTACTCTTCGTCTTCTATAAATCTCTAGTTCAATGAAATTACCAAAATACTCGAGCGTGAAGCAAATCATTGTGCAGACTCGTTGTGTCGGCCGGAGATCATAATCATCGACAAAATGTTGAAGTCATTTCACTGAAAACTTTACTTCCAAAGCATATAAATTTAGATGATTTCTTATAGCGAATTTATAACTGATCTGTTTGTTTTTCTATTTGAAATGCTTTTTTTTTTTTTAAGTTCCCGAAGGCCTACTTCGAGTAGAGCGTATTTGAAATTCTAAAAATGCTATCCAAACAGACCCGTCCTATTTGACATGAATTTTGTTTTTAAAAAATAATTGCCAAAATTCTAAAAGAGTTATCTTTTCTTGACTGCAAGAGAAAAAGTTGCAAATTTTCTTTTAAATCTAATATTTTTTTATAACTATCACTCTCAAATTTGATTTACTTATTTTATTTATTTCTAGTTTATCTTTTTGTTTATTAAGTATTTCTAGTTTATTTTTAAACATCAAGATTTGTTGGTTTGCTCGAGATCAAATCATCAACTAAATGTTGAAGCTGTTTCACTAAAAACCTTGCCTTTGAAACATATAAATTTAGATATTTTTTATATTAGATATGGTAAAAGTATAAATTTAGTCACATACTATTTTTTTAAGAACATTTAGTAATTTAAACTATTAGATGGTGCCAAAAAAATTATGAACTTTTAGAAACAAAACATCTAGTAGCTCACCGTCAACTTCATTGGATAAACGTTATGTGGAGCCTATAATAATATGTGGCACTCTACAAATATGCTACATCAACATGTGTAAAGGTATAAATTTAATTACAAATTATTTTTCAAGAAACATTGAGTAGTTTTTACTATAAAAAAATAGATTATCCAACACATTCCTATCAATTTTGACCAAACATCATTTATTTTTAAACTTATAAGGCCTACTATGCATCAATCTCTTTAATTTTCTTACCTTCGTTCTTAGTCTCAAGTCAAAAAAAAGAAGTTTAAAGAGGTCTTACATGAAGAGATTCATAAAGATGATACCAATAAAGTAGAAAAAATAATTCATAACTAAATTAAGTTAGAATCAAGTTTCTCCCATGCATAGTAAAATCAAGCCTATACTTTGTTGGCGTCATCTTTATGATGCCTTTAGATAAGAATTCTTTAAACTTCTTTTTTACAAGCTGAAACTGAGGATGAAGGCAAAAAAATTGAATAAATTGATGCATTGTGGGTTCATAAATCTAAAAATAAACAGTGTTTGGTCAAAATTGATAGGAAAATATTGGATAGTTCATTTTTTTATAATAAGAATTACCCAATACTTTTCAAAAAATAGTTCATGACTAAATTTATATTTTTACATATGCTAACATAGCATGCTTGTGGAATGTCACGTGTCATTATGAGCTTCACATAACATTTGTCCACTGAAGTTAACGACAAGCTACTGAATGTTTTGTTTTTGAAAGTTCATGGCTTATTTCGCATCATTTGATAATTTAAGCCACTAAATGCTTCTAAAAAAATAATGCATGATAAAATTTACATCTTTACCTTTAGATGTATAACTGACCTATTTGTTTTTCTATTCAAAATATATTTTTTTAAAAGTTCCCTTTTCTTCTCATTACATCCACCTTGAGCATTGAGCCAAGAGGCAATAGCGTATTTAAGATTCTAAAAATGATATCCGAACATACATGTCTTGTTTTTAGAGTTAAAAATACAGGCGGGCCCAACTTTTAAGGGCTGAAGCCCTAAAGCCCAGTTCTCTATTTTGAGCCCCATTTCTCAAGCTCAGCCCTTATATGAAGAGCTTAAGGTTAGGCCCAGAGCCCTTTTTAAAAAAAATTAAAATAAAATTAAACAGTATAAATTAATTAAAATATTATGAAATAAAAAAAATAAAATCTTCATAATTTTTTAGAAATTAAACAACACACATTTAGAATTTTAATAATAAAATTTAAATTTTGGTTAAAAAAATAGTTTATTTTTTATAAATACACAAACATAATAATTATAAAAAATTAAAAAATTAAAAATTTTATACTATACACTAATATTTATTAAATTATATTAAATTAATTTTAAAATAAATTAAAATTAATAATATAATGTATGTAGGATCAGGTGAGTGTCATTGATTTCAAACATGTGTTCCACCAAAAATAATAATAATAATAATATAATAGGGATTGAAGGGCCACCCGAACCCAAACCCTTTTTTTACAGGGCTTATTAGGATCAAGCTCTCAAGCCCAATTACTTTAAAAAAAATTTATTTTTAAAGCCTGAACTTTTATTTAAATAGGGCCTTCAAGTCCTACTCTCTAGGCCCGATCTTTATTCTCATCTCTACTTGTTTCAGCTGAATTTTGTATTTTTTTAAAAATGTAATTGTCAAAATTCTAAAATAGTCCTCTTCCATTCACCATTAGGAAAAAAAAAGTTGCAAATTTTCTGTTAGATCTAAATATTTTTGTTGACTATCACTCTCAAACTGGATGTCTATATTTTATTTACTTTCAATTTATCTTTAGACATTTGTTGGTTGCCCGAAATAAGATCATCAACTAAATGTTGCAGCCATCTCACTAAAAACATTACTTCCAAAGCATACAAATTTAAACGATTTTTAATTAGATATAGGAGAAATATAATTTTAGATCTTTATACTTTACTTACATTTTGCTATAAATTTCTACACTCTTTTTAGTATTTTAAATTTCTATATTTTTATTTTTCGGTGTTTTAGGTCCCTCTAAAATTTATATACTTTGTTCATTTAGAGACTTAAAATATAAAAAAAAAAAAAAGATGAAGGGACCTATAAATAATATAAATAAGGTACAGAGATTTAAAATTATATTTTTTTCTTAAATATATAACTGACTTGTTTGGTTTTTTGTTAAGAATGCGTTTTTTTTTTTTGTAAGTTTCCTTTTCTTCTTGTAACGTCTACTTCGATCATTGAACCAAGAGCCTATTTGAGATTCCAGAAATATTATCAAAAACAAACGCGTCTGGTTTCACGTGAATTTTGTTTTAAAATTGCCAACATTATAAAACAGTCCTCTTTCATTCCACCACTACAAAAAATGTTGCAAATTTTCTTTCGCATCTAAATATTTTTGTTAACTATCACTCTCAAATTTGATATCTTTATCTTAGTTATTTTCAATTAATCTTTAAACATCAAGACATCTATATAGATAGATAGATACATTTATCATTTTATATTTATATATATTATATGATTGCATGGAAGATTTTCTCATGAAATACCAATATTTGTTTTTTTTCCAAAGCAAGGTTATTCATTAAATGCCTTTTTTTTTTTCTGTATAGCACTTGATATCAGTGGCCTACCTGACATTAAACTGAAAGATTTTAATATGACTCAAACTAATCCGAACCGAGTCAAGTCGAGTAGGGATGGATGGAAGGGGGAAGGCAGTGCTCTTCTCCCCTCCCAAAAAAACAATTTTGCTCCCCTCTGAATTTTTTAAAAAATATTTCAAGTGGTTTTAAATTTTGCTTCCATATATTTGTTTCTAAACTCATAATTAGGGTTGGGATCCTTTTAAGTAGAAGCTTTACTATCAACTGTATTTCATTCCTAAAGTTTGAATTTAAAATTGAGAAAACATAATCTTTAATTTATATAATTTCATCAAATTTTGTTTTTGGTTTTTGTAGTCTAATTTTTTAAAAATTATAGAGACTAAAAATCTTACAGGAATTAAAAATAAAATTTAATGAAATTATAAAAATCGTGTTTTCTTTTTAAAACTTGTAGTTAAATTAATACAACTCGTTTAGCTCGCATGATGGTAAAAGCCAAAAACTATGATGGGAGGATGAAATGGAGCCGGCAAATTCCATGTGAAGCATCATGTTCTAAAAACCCCACAAAGAACTTTGAAGTCATAAGAATAGCAGAGTTGTCAGAATTTGCACCAATAGGCAATTAGCCTTTGGGAGTGAATTTCCTCATTTGTCTTTTAACGTAATAACGTTTACATACAAAGGCTCAAAAAAAAAAGTCCTAGTCATCCCACAATAGCGGTCGCCTCCTATCCAATACATAGTCGGCAACTTGACAAGTTCCGTCTCAGAAACGGGTCCTAGTAATTGATCAGATTCAAACTTGACAATTTTTATTTTTTATTTTATTTTTGCATGACTGGTCAGATTCAAATATAATATTTTTTTAAAAAAATATTAAAAATTGATCCTCATAATTTTATAAAATTTTATTTTTAATTTTTATAATTTATTTTTAATATTTTTAATTTTTATAATTTAACATTATTAGGGATCTAAGGAATAAATGTTATTCAATCTTGTTAAAATTATAGGAACTAAAAATATTTTAAGAAAAATTATAAGGATTAAAAATAAAATTCGATTAAACTATACTATGATCTAATGATTACATTTTTTATTTTTTAAAATTTAATTCTAAATATTAATTATAGCAATATGCAAATAAATTATATGAGAAGCTTAAAATATATGTTAATTTTATTTTCATCATAAATTTATTTTTATAATAAATAAAAGTAAAACAATATTTATACAAGTGCACGCACTCATGTGATAATTTTAAAGCTTGAATGATAATTTCAATTTTAAATTATAGATCCAAGTATATCTAGAATTTTAAACTTATTTTTGGTGCAACTAGATTGAATCCCGTGCAATACATGGATTTTAGATGAGACAATTGAGAGAAATAATCTAAATATAAACATTTATACATACGATGTTAAGATTTTAATAAAACATGGAAATAACTCGCTATCCTCCCTTGAATTCTAAAAATCTCAAGCTTTTTGCTAATTTCAACTAATAACACCAGCTAATGTCATTGCCTTTCTCATAGCACACATCAAGTTTTGACAATTCAACTAATAGAGCACCCAAATCCCTACCCCCAATAAAAGATGCAAGTCCACATAAAATGGCTAGAGAAAAAGATCATGGTATCTTCTTGGTCCCTAACATTCCAGGCATCATGCCCCTAGTACCAGGTCAAGCAATGGGGAATCCCTTAGGAGTGGCGTTTCCCTTAACAATCCAAGTATTTCTAATGTTTGCAGTGGC